GGCCCGGGTTCGATCCCGTGTCTGGTCAAGTGGGATTTGTGGTGGACAAAGTGGCGCTGGGGCAGGTTTTCTCAGAGTACTTCGGTTTCCCCTGCCAATCTTCATTCCACCAATTGCTCCACAATCACCCTCACCTATCATCTGGGGCTGGTACAATAGGCCAGAAGTGGCCGCAGTACAGGGACTTAGTCCCACCCCACTAGCAATAAAAAAAGACGGGTGCTTTAATAACGAAGATAATGCCTCAATGCAACGGGATGCTGAAATATAATATTATTCGTAAATTTAAGTGTATAAGCAAATTCTTTGACTGCACCCCACCCCCCCACCGCCATCCTGGAAGAAATCCTGTCGGGACCCGTCAAGTAGACCCTCGTTTCGCCTAGGGGTCATACCCATCGAGATCAAGTCATCATGGCGGCGACTGTGAAGGTCACATAGCCTTCTGAGGTTGGTAGGCTCGCCACTGTGTCGTATGAAGCTGCTGTCTCCACCTTCAGGTTGAAAAGGTTTGGTGTGATGGTGGGCACAGTCTCCGATATGTTGGATACTAACTGCACTGTCGCACGGTCGCTCGCCAGAGGTTTCGTTGGATTGACTCGACGTGAAAGCTCAGAAACTTATAGAGGTCTTTCGTAATTTTCGTCAGTCCTTCCCGACCCATGTCGAGATACATAAAACGGACTACAACCGCCTTCCTCTGCATCGGTTCCACATCCTTCTTCAGAGTCGTTCCGATTTCTCACTAACTGGAGCTGTACCTACCTTGAGAAGGCCTCCACTCGCTTCTGAACTGGAGTGTCTGCCTAGTTCTGAACTGGAGCATCTACCTAGTTCTGAAACGTATCCTCTGCCTAGTTCTGAACTGGAGCACCTACCTAGTTCTGAACTGGAGCACCTACCTAGTTCTGAACTGGAGCACCTACCTAGTTCTGAACTGGAGCACCTACCTAGTTCTGAAACGGATCCTCTGCCTAGTTCTGAACTGGAGCACCTACCTGGTTCTTAAACGGATCCTCTGCCTAGTTCTGAACTGGAGCACCTACCTAGTTCTGAACAGGAGCGTCTACCTACTTCTGAACTGGAGCACCTACCTAGTTCTGAACAGGAGCCTCTACCTACTTCTGAACTGGAGCACCTACCCAGTTCTGAACAGGAGCCTCTGCCTAATTCTGAACTGAAGCACCTACCTAGTTCTGAAATGGAGCCTCTGCCTAGTTCTGAACTGGAGCACCTACCTAGTTCTGAAACGGATCCTCTGCCTAGTTCTGAACTGGGGCACCTACCTGGTTCTGAAACGGATCCTCTGCCTAGTTCTGAACTGGAGCACCTACCTAGTTCTGAACAGGAGCGTCTACCTACTTCTGAACTGGAGCAACTACCTAGTTCTGAACCGGAATGTCTGTCCAGTTCTGAACGTGTGCGTCTGTCTAGTTTTGAAAAGCCATTTCTACCCCTGGTCGCAGTTCGTGTACTTACAGCAACTTCCGTCCGACAGCAGCGCGCCTCGTGCCCCTGTGCCTATGCAACTGCTTCTTCTCCGGCGATCTGGGGCACTGTCAGGCGCCGTAGCAGAAGCAACCCGATCAAGCACTGCCGGCGTGGAGAGTGGGGGGGGGGGCTCCGGGAATGCGTGACCCCTGAAATTTTGTTGGGAATCGGCCAGCAAAAGTGTTGCAGTGCTGAACCACATCAAGGCATTTAGCAATTTGAAGCATGAAATTTACGTAAAGGCGCTTCTTATAAATGAAGTTCTACATCACAAGAAACACACGGAGTTTCCATTACGCAGCGCAGTCGGTTCATGTTGTTGAGGCAGATTTTGTGTCTTTATTCTGAAAATCATGCGCGTTGCGAAGATTGTATTCCCAAGGGGTAACAACCAGTTCTCCAAAAAAAAAGGGACTGACAACGAATTTTGCTTGAAGACCGACTGACGTCTCAAACCGTTAAGGACCATGTTTCTTACATTCCTAGGATATTCAGGGTAGAACATTTCAAATGATTTTAATTTTTTATATTAAAATTTTATACATTTCCTCCTTTTTCAATATTCATTTTCTTCCAAAAATCCACCGAGTGTTTAATGAAATAACTGATTAATTAAATAATTAAGCACCACGCCATGAGGACGTATTAGAGGTGGTGGTGTGGCTCCACACATGCTTAACGTCAGCACTAGGCTATCCGTAAAACTCGTAACAGCTGTGTGCGTGGGTACTCATAAGTAAAAGTGTAAACAGTTCATTAGAAATATTTGGACACCCCATCGGGCGAGTTGTGTTGGAAAATTGCCCTTTTGTGGTAACCCTAAACAGACCTTATCTTTGTGAGGTCAAAGTTCAGCAGATAACAGCTATCTCGAACAGAACTGAGACGACATCCCATTGCCAGAATGATAACCAAGGGACATAATAACATAAACCATCAATTTCAAAGTGTATATTGTTGGTTTTGTGACTAGGCTGCTGGTTGGATGACCGGGAAATCGTGGTTCGATTACCGGGACTTAGAGTACATAGGGGCAGAGAGCTGGACTGTCACGAAAGGAAGTGAGCAACCCGAGTAAGTTTGAGAAGAAAGTAAAGTAAAGCTATCCCTGCAACAGGCCGTGGAGGCCCATAGGGTTGTGAGACGTCGAGGCTCCCACATTTTCTAGTTAATCTGCTCACAGATGGTAGTGAGGTTGTCAGCCTTACGCGCCGGCCCCTTTTACCTTCAAGAATATTCCTGGTACTCATTTCTGTTAGAGGCTGAGTCGACCCCGGGGATATAGTGCGACTGGAAGGATTAGGTGAATTGAAAAAAAATCCAATGACCTCATCGGGAATCGAACTTAGATACTTAGGGATGTCGAGCTATACAACGTGTGTACATAATACCCTCCGAAATAGTGAAGGCTGTCAGACTGGGGAGCACCGAACCAGATGAAGCAAGACATCTCAGTGTAGGAAGCTAACTTTACACAATCCTGAGGACACAAGGAGGGTTGGATAGCGTGGAGAGAGATGTTAGAATCTTTGTTGTATGAGGCCCTATGCAGAACCTCACGAAGCAGGGCAAGGCCCACACAGGGTTGTTACTTACATAGTTATGGAGCTGAGCCCTTCTTGAGCCGCAAATTCTGCAGCTACTCAAGAATTTCCCACCATTTTATGGAACCCGAAGGTTCATTACCGTGTTAACAAGAGCCCTCCACTGGTCCCTATCCTGAGCCAGATCAATTCAATCCATACCATCCCATCCTATCTCTCTAAGATCCATTTTAATATTGTCCACCCACCTACGCCTTGGTCTTCCTAGTGGTCTCTTTCCTTATGGCTTTCCCACCAATATCCTATATGTATTCCTCTTCTCCCCCATTCCTGCTACATGTCCTGCCTACCTCATCCTTCTTGACTTAATCATTCTAATTACACTTGGAGAAGAGTACAGGTTATGAAAGAATACGCAGGGTTGTAGCGCCAATAAAGAAGATATCAGGGAGTCTTACCGCCATGTCCCAATAAAAACAACGACCAGTTTATATGAGGATTTTCCCATGCGTCTCCACTCTTCATTTCGTTTCGTAAGTTAGTAAATATTTATGGTACCAAATATGTTTCGAGCAGAGGCTGTAGATGTAGCTCAGGCGCATGTTAGAGTCTCAATACAAATTTTCCGAAAGTGTTTCTCTATTGGAAACAAGTGAACAGGCTTGGGCGAATCTAACAGAATTGTTAACGCTGCAAGTAAAGGTCAAGTTGTCCTTGCTATTAATGAAGTATAGGGGAGTCGAGGTATAGCTCCATCATTCTTGACTTCAGCACAACTTGGGAGGTGAGTGGTTAGCTTCATGCCCTGGCCGCTTTACTCCGCGAAGAAACATAGGAGGCCGAGTGGGCCTTAGAGCCAGTCTGGACGCTTTGGAGGATAGAAAAAATCCCTTGTCCTCCCCGCGAATCGAACTCCGCCCATTTAGTCCGTACCCCATTGCTGTACCAAGTGAGATATCCCAAATTCACCTAAATTCATTCATTAAAATTATCTTTGATGATGAGTTGTTAATGTGTATGAGTTACAGCAGTGTTACTATGGTAACATAAGCTACCAGGCCTTCATTTCTCTAACAGTTTCAGTTTAATGTAGCAGGAATTACCAAATTAACATTTTAAATGCACGTTCTTATATATATTTCATATGCTTGAAGTATGACTCTTTATTTCGTGTAGATAATGCACGAACCACGTCCATGACATGTATCATTATTCAATCACATTATTGCTATTCAATTTATATAATTTTTCAAATCGATTTATGTGATTGCTCGCCAGACGTTGGGAGTTGGAACAAGAATGGACTAAGCCTCATTGGCATGTCTTAAGTAGGCTTGAAAGAGGCCAGCGTAGTCTAGGGGTAACGTTCCCATCTCACGACTCAAGGTACGCGGGTGGAATTTTTAAGGGCGGATAAATTCAGGGAACAAGTCCTCCGGGAGGAACTTTAAGCCGTGTGTCCCGTGTCGTAGCTTTACGGCACGTAAAAGATCCTCATGTCTCTAGGAGACATGAGGGAATTATCAGGGACCGCTACCGGAGAGGGCCGACCTCACTGGCAGAAAGGGGCTGATAGCGAGCACCAGTACTGGAAGGGCATGGCGACTAGTTAGAATAATTAAAGGGGGACCCACAATAGACCAATAAATGGTCGCAGTGCATAGAGTAACCCACCCCCTCCTAATAATAATAATAAGTAGGCTTGAAGCGAATGTCCATGCAACTTGTTAATGCTCGACAATTCGTTACCCTTCTAACTTGGACACTATCCCAGGATTTGCCTGGAGATACTGAGGAAAGCCACGAACAATATTAGTCAAGATAGTCAAGTCTCTTTGTTGAGATCCGAACACGTGATCTATCTGAAGCAGGACTGCCACTCGCCCGACGCCTACGTCCGACTACAAAAAATATAAAATTGTGTTTTAAATACTCGAAATTGAAACTGACTCAGCTGCTGGAGTAACCTGCTGAATCCGTGACCTCAGGAACTTTTATTCATCGCTGTAACATACGCCACTCTTGCCCCCGAACGTTTCCTATAATGGCAACTTTTTTCTTGTCACAGGGATTGGAGCACATGCAGTTGACAACTGACTACTGCAATTGGTTACTGCGCTGGTCGACCGGTGCTCAGAGATCAAGCCATTGGAACCCTGACCGCTGATATTACGCAGAGCTCTGTGGAACAACTGCCCTGAAGTGAAGACATTTGAAATGGTATTAATAAGTTGCAAGGTCACCTTCATTGGGTGTTTTGATTTATGTGTTATCATTTCGATACTGGATAATCGGTCGTGGACATCCGACAAGGGATGGTCCTACAGCTTTGGGATTGCGATGGGTGGCTATGGTTATTGATCACCTGCTTCTTGCGTCTCTCTTGCTTGGATTATTTTTCGACCCTGAAGATGTAGGCGACATGTTCCTCCGAAACGTAGGTTTATTTTTAACGATCTATACGGTGATCTGTCCCAGATGTTCGAGAATCTGGCCGGATTCTTTTTGGAAAGACATAAACAACGGAGTCTCTAGATGAGGTTTGGGAATTTGTAGTCTCACAGACATTGGGCGTGGGCTGGATTCATTTGGCTCAAGACAGGGTTAAGTAGCTGACTTGTGACGTGTTTTGTAGGAAAACAAAACATCCCAGGACAACTCAGTCTTTATTACTTATAAACGATAACAGTTTTTGATTTAACTGAAAATTCAATAACACGCTGATTTAAATACCTACTTAAAGGTTATGTATTCTGTGGCGATCGCTTCTTTAATGTCACAGAAATTAACAACTTTTTAACGTCTACTTTGAATATCATCACTCATGTTTTTCCCCAGTCTCTCGAATCAAATATCACGTGTTCTCTTCCGTCATTCACAATAACCCATCCATCATTAAATGCTGGTGTGTGTCATGGAGTCCGATATCCTGTTATTATATCTGTAACTGAATATTATATTTGAAATAGAGTCGTTAAACAAACAATATTGTTTGTCGCAGAACCGGATGCTTCAGCGGCAGCCTGAGGTTACTTTGCTGCGCTGGGTGAGGCCTGCCATGGAATCGAAACAAGGAAAGGTTACCGGAAAGTGCTCATGTTCTGTCAAGAAGTACCTCATAGACTTTTGCAAGGCTACATCGTTCCACGGCCTCAAGTATATCACGGAGGAAAGAAGGCATTGGATCGAGCGGTGGGTCCACTTGCAGCTAGTTACATTTGAACGACACTACGGCGCTGCTGTCCTTGTCTCACCTTAACTTTGGACCTTCTTTAGCGTAGTGCTGGGAGTTGTGTGACTGCCTTGAGCGATTAAACTTCTCGTGAAGGACTGGTGTATAATCTGTATATAATAAAATCTTACAATGCTGTGTGATATTAGGGCACCCATAGAACGATATACACACTGGTTGTAGGTACTACTAATCTGCCAATAGGTGGATCTGTCAATAGTAGTCTCTCCGTCGTCAACCGTCGCCATTATCACGACAAATCCTTATTTAAAAGAGCTTGAAACATTTGTTCTGTATTTGTTAAGTACTGTATCGAGTTATGTTACGGCCAGACTCCGAATACGGGATTAAGAAAGAAGAGCATGGCGTATGTTGATGACACTAGCGCGATCTAAATGCCAACTTCAAAATGTCTAAGAAACGTGTCCGGACATAACAGACAGCCACGTCTCGGAAACGACGTTAGTCAACAATTGTCTATACCGACGGAGCAGAGGTCATAAACTCTTATGAAATACGCAGTCAGTGCTGATGGCAGGGACAGGATGTCATCCATATTGACTCAGCTGATCGTCCAAGATTTTGTCACAGTCATTCAGACCATATACAGATTATCACCGTGCTACCCAGAGCTCATCAGTGACCCATCTTTGAGCTAAATGACAGATACGGAGCCATTGTTTCGCGCATTCATAACGAAGAGTTAGAAAAGTTCATCTTTTAGCTTTGGCATTTCTATCTGTTTTTCGTTGCTATATTGAGGCCGTGGAATGGAGTCCCGTGAATGGTGGGGATAACAATGCCAGAGGCTTCCCCTTCTCTGGCTCATGTTCTGTTGACCTCCAGCCACAGTTATCCCCAGGGCTCTTCTCCCCGAGGTAGGGGAAGCCATAAAATTTTGTTACAAACTCATATTAAGCCTTCTTTTTTTGTTGATCGCCCTGGATTATTTGGATACAAAATTATTCGTTAATACTTTCAATATTTGTTATTAAATATATATTCTTCTTTTTCCATTTTGATCTTTTACAAACTCCAGATAGGGGGGCATATGCCTTGTTTGTACTTCCGTCACCCCACCGGCGCTTGTACCTCTCCCCCAACTTATTCCTATGAACAACAGGGCTAGAGAACAGTAGGAGAATACATGGAAGCGCATTGGAGGGGATAGTGTAACAGCTGGAGGGGGATGTCAGTGGGTCTTCTTTCTGTGGCCTCAGTATAGCAGCAACCGCAGTTCAGATACGTTTGCCCGCAGGACCCTTTGGACATTCATGTGCACCATTGGACTGGCTGGAGCGACTATACTTATCAACAAGGTGTGGACACAGTACAGCACTTCCCCCACCATCACCAGTGTCGAGAGCACACACTTCCCCATCTGGAACATCCCCTTCCCAGCGGTCACCGTGTGTCAAGTGAACAAGGTTCACCTCTCGGCCGCAGTGGCGCTGTACAGAGAGGAGTAAGTTCTGCGTTTCTTTGCTTCGTCACTTGCATCATATTGTTTGCCTCTCGGTAATTTGTTTTTATTTTATTTTGTTGGGTGGGATGAGATTGAGTCCACTTGGTACTTTGGCCACTATAGGACTTACTGTACCAGCCCCGGGCAGTAGATGTTACAGTTGGCGGAAGGAGACGGTGTCTCAGTAGAGTTCTGCTCGAATCCCACTTCCTCAGGTTTGTCGCGGCCTAAACTGTGACCGAGAAGTAATGACGAATACCCGAGGCAGGGTTTGTGTGGAATGTTCATAGAAACGACTGTAAGGATCGCTCTTTACCCAGAGGAACACAATAAGAATCCTCAACGCCGTCATAACCTCAAATCTTCCCGCTGTTTACTCGGAAGAGCACAACATGAATCTTCTCTGGCTTGAAAACCTGCAATCTTTACTGTTACCTTTTCTACATGATAGGTTCACCAAAATTCTGACCGAGAAGGAGTACTGGGCCTTTGTGTCGCAGATGGCAGAGATAATCCAGCCGGAGGGGGTGGACATGTTCCAGATGGACCTGGAGCACATACACGCGGTGCTGAGGAACCGCAGCTACGACATGGAGTCCCTCATGATGCGGGTAAGTGTAAGTAAACACGAAGAAATTCTCTGCGCATTCAGTTTACGCAGGCCGGGCCTAGAATAATCGCACTGTACATGTAATGTTCTGTTGCCAGCTGACCCAGCCTTGCTCCAGCCTACTGATAAAGTGTAAGTGGCGAGGCGAGGTGACGTCCTGCAGTGACCTCTTCACCATGCACAAGACGGATGCCGGCTACTGTTGCTCATTCAACTATCACCCGCCCGGAGCTCCGAACGGCAAGTGAGAGTTCTTTCCTTATGACAGACAAGGCACAGACTTTACATTGGCACGTTTCTGGCCATGCACAGAAGCTATCAGATACACTTGTAATATTTATCAGGGGTGACAAAAGTTAATGGACATCGGCAGCTTGTGTGATAAGTTCTATAATTTCGGGGGCCGCAAACAGACGTGGGTTGGATGGCGTAGGCGTTTAGGTGCATGATTTCAATGTAACGCATATTTATACTTAATTCATTTGTAAAACAAGAACTTCTGGGAAGAACTATTCTCATTTTTCCTTTGATACGACACGGACCTCATAGAAAACGACGCCTCCTACAATTCTCCTTTGAGATCGGAACGTGTTTACCGAACCATTGCCTAGCAACGATAGGGGGAGACACAAACAAACACACAGACTGATGGGAGAGATTTATGAAGTACGCCATTGAGATATGTTCAGTTGCCATGATATACATACCAAACTTCATCAAAATTGGTTCAGGCGTTAATGGAGGTGGGATTCACTGACACACATCGCGTAAACCTACTTTTATTTTTTTTAAATAAGGAACGTGCGCTAGAAATGATTGAATAATACTACTTTCCACGAGCCGTATGGGAATCGCGACCCACAGATTATTTAAAATACGACTTCCCTCTCTGCTTTGTAACGAACTCCTAAAATGAAACATTTCTGTTCCCTATGCGAGCATAGCTGTTCTCACGGCTGTGACAATAATGAATACGTCTGGGGTTTGTGACGCCGTGTAGTTTACTAAATCAGTATTCATGTAAAGTAATATTAGGGGCAGTAAATCCCTGCAATACGATTGTTACGCAATGCATATATATATGGTGTTCACTATACTGTATTACCAAAATTATCATCCAGCCAGCCTCTATTTAGAAACCACCCCCTGTATTTATTTAAATCCTTGAGGTGGGGTAAGACTGAGTCCACTTGGCACGCCGGACGCTAACTGACCTGTTGTACCATCCCCGGATGACGCGAGGGAGAGACAGTAAATAGGTCACAAATAGATATAAAACGTAAAACGCGTGATATTCGAACCCGGAAAAAATATTCATTTCTCGACATATCCTCCACCAACATTGGTACACCTGTCCCATCGCTTTACCAGTAAGTCGAAACCCGCTGCAAAGAAATCTTTTTTACTCTTGTCTCAGCAACCTCTTCGTCATCAGCAAAACGTTTGCCACCAGGTTGTGAACCGTTTTACGCGACAAACACTTCCCACTGTAAACAGGAAACAATTCTTTATGAACATCCTTTTCATTGTGGCCTTTTTTCCACAAAAAAAAATCAAAATAGGACACTACTCTTAGGTAGTATACTCCTCAAGCACGTTCGCCATTTTGACTACTGAAACCAACCTCTGAACATGCGAATGTGTGTCTGCTACCAAGACTGATGAAGCCGGACTGTGCTGCTACCTAGTGATACACATACAAAACCTATTACGTCCATTGCAGCTGTTTTACTTCCATTTGTGGCTTTCCCCCGTACGTGAATGTTGAGCAGTTGGTGGGATGCGAATTGGCACAGGAAACCGAGCAACCCTGTAAAAGACCACGTATTGGAGGAACGGTCGGTGGTCTTGTTGGGAAGTTTTACTGCATTTCGAATTGTACCGCAGGAACGGCGTTCCTCTGCGTGTGAACGGGGCGGGCTACCTGGCCGGGCTGAGCATGCTCATAGACCCAAGGCTGGAGGACTACTACGCAGCGCTCTTCTCATTTTACGGCATCCAGGTGCTGGTGCACGCGAACCAGGACTACCCAGAGATCTCCGCGAGGGGCATCCTACTGTCGCCGCGCAAGGAGGCTTTCCTTCAGGCAAGTGCGGAGTTCTCAAGACTGGTAGACATTTACCCACTTTTTGCAGCAACCTGGTGCTTCCATCTTCAGGGTAGAAGACTAAGATACTATGAGAAATACTGCCTTATCGGGTGTGACAGTGTGATCTGATAAGATTGTTACCAATGTTTTGGAACAACCTAGTACTTCCATCTTCAGGGCAGACGAATAAGATGTTATGAGGATTACTGTGTCTGTCTTCGAGATGGAGGAAAAAAGGGGTAATTTTGTACCCTACAGTGGAGGCAGACGTTGTATAGGGCTCTGTCTAAAGGGCCCTACTGAGTGGGACCCTTTCTCCTTTCTTTTCCTGAAGACAGATGCAGATCACACTTTCGATACAACCGAGACAACGGTTGCGGCACGCGGTAGCGTAGTTGGTTGAGGCACTATGCTACAAGCCGGAAGGTCGCGGGTTCGATTCTGGATGAAATCGGATTTTTTAATTGACCTAATACTTCCAGCCGCACTATGGCCCTGGAGTCGACTCAAACTCTTAACAGAAATGAGTACCAGGAATCTTCCTGGACGTAAAGGGAGGCTGGCGCGTGAGGCTGACAACCTCACTGCCATCTGTGAGCCAATTGTGTAGAAAATGTGGGAGCCTCGACGTCTCACAACCGTATGGGCCTCTACGGCCTGTTACAGGGATAACTTTTCCGTTTGCTTGACGGCAATGTACAGTTACAATGTTGGCACAAGGAACATGGTCACTTGACGCCCCAACCAGAGGCAATTCCCGAAAACATGGCCTGTGCCCTTGCCTTCAGGTGTCCGCGGCGGCCACCTACAGCACGCGGGAAGTGCGCGCCCTCAGCAAGGAGCAGCGTCAGTGCCTGTTCGAGGACGAGCAGTCCCTGGGCAACAGCAGCGGCGATGCGGGCGGCTACTCCTACAGCAACTGCCTGGTGCACTGTCGCATGGAGCACATGAACAAGCTGTGCCACTGTGCCCCGTACTTCTACCCCACAGGTGGGCCCCAGCAGGGGCGCACAGCGAGGTTACTCTTCCTGTGAGGGTCATACGAACACAGAATTGAGTGTTTGGGATTCCTGGGTTTTTGGACTCTGTCCATCGTCCGGTATGCTGAAGAACACGACGTTTCAGAAACTGGATTTGCTGCCGTCTTAACGTCGGGGGTGGTGGTGGGTCCCTAACCTGAATCTCTACACGATGTAGAATACCAGACTACGGACAAAGTCCAAAAACTCGCTAATGCGTAGTGTTGTCCACATCGTCGGAACCCTGGGGATCGTAATAAGTTAAGCACCACGCCATGAAGACGTGTGGGGGAGTAGAGGTATAGCTCTACCCTTCTTGGCCTCGTGACTCCCCCTCAAATCCTGCCCTGTACATGACCGTACTCTTAAGTTACCAGTGATTTCTTTCAAGGGTTACCTTACAGATCCACTCCCAGGTGGCAAGTCACTACTCATTTGTCCTGTTTCAGGTAACGACACCAAACTGTGCGGTCTCACGGACGTGGCCTGCCTTGCTGACCACAGACGTAAGTAAGCACATGGAGGTCAGGCTCCCTGCATTGTGGACCGTAAGTGAAAGGTGTTAACAGAGTGCCAGTCTCAGTGCGAGAACAGGCGATAATGCCTCGCATTCTACGGCTCTAGTGTTCGATTCTTGGCCCAGAAATTTGCGTGTCCTCTCTGAGGTTTATTGTGATATTCCGGATCCAGAAAATCCAGAAATTAGTGGCCGACGTACCAAGTGGATTCAGTCTCACGCCACACCCAGCGAAACTGAAAAATGGAAGTGTCTGTCTCTTGCTGCAGGTGTCTTCAACAACCTGAGGTCACCCAACTTTGTTCCTGGCCTGGACGACAACGACAACGCCATGCAATGCGAGTGCCACCCCACCTGCACCGACGTCACTTACTCCACCGAAATCTCAGAGTCAAACTTCTTCAAGAGCGAATATGACCAGACAAATTTCTTGTGAGTTAAACTTGTCACCTGATTACTGCAGTGTTCTGTCTCCCTCTGCCTGCCTCAGCATGAACTCCTTTGTTTCCACAGCAAGGAGGTACCCATCACGAACCATTCCATCCTTCACGTGTACTTCAAGGACCTGTCTGTACTGCGGTTCAGACGTGACGTCATCTACAGTTGGAACGACTTGCTAGGTGAGTTGCTGGAACCTCCAGCTTGTTCGGACACGGGCAGTCCCTCAGAGTCCAGACCAGTTAAATGGGAATCCCTTCCTTGACACGCGGAAACCCGAAATTAATCGAAATATTATCTAAGTGCTCATTTCGTACCTCACAGGAAACACAAATCACCACTTAGAGGTCGTAGCTATAACATCATCGCTAATTTCCACACTTTACAGTTCACTAGAGCACACCGTATAGTGTTCTCAGTGTGTTACTAGACGTTTCCTGGTAACGGGTCCAATAATGGCTATTCCTCTACCTGCATTTCGGATCCTCTCTTCACAGACTCATACAGAACTGACCCTCAACTCAAAGTCAAAGTCGCATTGCGACTGACGGTCAGTCAGTTGGTAAGTCTTGGTGTATTTATTACTCTTTCGGCAGTTACGGTCTTGTTTTTGTGGTGCGCCCTCTCTAACGAGAGGACGGGTCTATCTTTTGTATATGCTGTTGGCCTTTGTCAGCTCAGTCTTTCTCGGGTCTGAGTCCCTTGGGACTCGCGACCACATTTTACTGTCTCACATTTGAGACTTCCCTTTTCGTCGCCTCCTACGACTCGCAGGGTCACGGTGGAGGTATTCGACCCCGCCTCCACACGGGCTACTGAAATCAACTGACTCTGTCACTTGCTTATAAGATCTCGGCACGGACCACATAGAAAACAGTTTATTGTTGTGTCCAACTGCTGCATGATTAAGAATTTGCTGACTAATAACGGGAACGTGTTTACTGAGCCGTTCCCCAGAAACGGCCCTGGTATATCCCACAATCTCGAGGTCGTTGCATAGCAACGGGCCTATACGCCACAGTGTCATCCGAATCTTCAGTGTTGAACAGTAAGTCAAGCAAGATACGTACATGAAACAGGCAACAAACAGAGCCAGCTGATTTTTATTCCTTGGTTTATTATTCAACCCTGAAGTTGGAAGCGATATGTTCCTCCGAAACGGACGGCGTTGTATGCGAGAAGATACAACACTTCTGCCAACGCTTAGCTAGATCGTAACGCTTCTCCGGACTCGCTCGCTCTCCGCACCTTTCCAAGTAATCTGTGACGTCACGTGACATCTCACACAATATTTAGCAAATGCTTTTCTTATTTTTCCCTTCCGAACCCCCCCCCGCCCGGTCCTCCTGCTTAAAGCGGAAGAAAGCATAAACGTATTCTGGGAAATTGAGAGGTGCACTCACGGGGTGCACAGGACCAAATTTGGGGCCCAATACTGCCCGTATAACGCGTGTAGAAGAGCCCTGGCTTAATTAATCTGTAAGTTTTCTGCAGGACAGAGTTTTGTATTAATGTATCTGTACTCTGTCCCGACAGCCTCGTTTGGTGGTATCGTGGGGCTGACCCTCGGCAGCAGCCTTCTGAGCTTCGTGGAGCTTTTGTACTTCTTCACGGTACGCCCCGCGTGTACTCTGCTTCGTCGCGACGCTGTCGGGCCCCTCAAGGATATACCGGCGTCGAGAAAGGGCCCAGTTCCACCCCCCTACGACTGGGTGTTCTGAGAAGAGTTACCAGGTACAAGTTAGCGTCGTAGTGTGTTGTTGGCGCCGAGACGGCTGTTCCATGCCGTGTCGCCGGGAAAGCTCAGAAGCAAACTAGGCTATGGGCTGGACAGCCTTGGTTCATTTCCCGGCAGAGCAAGGTTTTTCTCATCTGCACAGCTTCCAGACAGGCTCTGGGGCCCTCCCAGCCTTCTATTCAAAGGGTACCGGGGGTCAAGCGGCCTGGGCGTGAAGCTGACCACTCACTGGTGCAGCTGTACCTCCACTCCCCCATGCGTCTCCATGGTGTGATGCATAAGTAGTCAATCACTTTGCCTCACTGTACAGCAAAGTGTCACTTAACGAGGCTACATAGCGTCAAATGGTAGGATGATAAGTGAATGACGACTTGGATGGGATTTGGAAGGAGGCGGATCGTGGCCTATGCTAGCTAATATACCGGCATTTGTCTGGAGAGACTGAGTAAAATCATGAAAATTCTCAGTCAGGATAGCCGGGGTCCCGGAGGAGAGTCGAAACGAGAACCTCCGTAATACGAGTCTGAGAGTCTTACCGCTATGCCAACCCGCTCACTCTTCTACTGTTAATTCATTGTTAATGTCTCATATTGCCTGT